GGCGGCGCGTCGGTCTGCGTGCACGGGCGACAGCGGCATCTGTGCCGCGGATGCGGCGGCGCGTCGGTCTGCGTGCACGGGCGGAGGCGGGTTGAGCGCCGCGACTGCGGCGGCGCGTCGGTCTGCGCGCACGGGCGACTGCGACGGACGTGCCGCGACTGCGGCGGCGCGTCGGTCTGCGTGCACGGGCGGAGGCGACACCAGTGCCTCGACTGCGGCGGCGCGTCGGTCTGCATGCACGGGCGGCAGCGGTACCAGTGCCGCGATTGCAGCAATTTCGTATGTCAAATCCAGGGCTGTCCTCGGCAAGACCTCCCGTTTTCCAGCGCGCCGAACTTGCTGCGACATATGCGAGCGACGCACGGCGACAACCCGCGCGCAGTGACCAAGAGTAAGGAGCTTGAGGTGCACCAAGCGCTCCGCGACGCGCAGATCGCCTTCGAGTACCAGCACTACCTGCCCTTCCGCGGCTGCGGGATGGAGTCGGAGACGGCCCACGCCTTCGCGGACTTTGCCCTGCCGACCCCGTGGGGCTACGTCCTGCTGGAGGTTGACGAGGAGCAGCATAAGGCTTACGACCCCAGCTGCGACGTGCGCAGGGACTTCGACATGGCCGCCAGCGTGGCGCTCGGCAGCGGCCACAAGCTGCTGGTGCTGCGCTACAACCCGGACGCCTTCAAGATTGCCGGCATGACGCGGCGGACCACCAAGAAGGAGCGCCGCGCGCAGCTGATCCGCCTGCTGGGCGAGCTGCTGGCGCGCGAGCCGGAGGCGCCTTTCACCCGCCTCTTTCTCTTCTACGACCGGGCCGCGGAGAACAGCGCGCTGCCCTGCGTGGCGGAGCACTGGTCCGAGCCCGTGCGCGCCGTGTCCCGCTGCGCCTAGAGTCAAGCAGTTTTCTGGGAGACCGGGGCAATCCTGTATTGGGCACAGGATTGACCTTGTCAATCCTGCGTTGGCGACAGGATTGGCGAGGGCAATCCTGTTGCCACAGCAGGATTGACAAGGTCAATCCTGTTGCCACGCCAGGATTGACGGCAGGCTCCGATGCCGGGCAGGTGGTGCGGCCGGGGAGGCTTCTATGCCGGGCAGGTGGCGCGGCCGGGGTCAGACAATGATCCTCCATGCTGGGAACCTCGCATTTGTGACATTGGTGCCACCAATGTCAAGGAAACGAGGTTGGGTGAGCCATTGGGCGAACCCGTACTCATTGGGCGAGCCATCAAACGAGGTTGGGCGAGCCAGTACTAAGGGGCCGTTGGGCGAGCCAGTACTCATTGGGCGAACCCGTACTCATTGGGCGAACCCGTACTCATTGGGCGAGCCACTCAACCACTTTCACAGTGGCCAACGCCTGCGCCTGCTTGGCGCTGTGCCTGCTCGGCACATCTACAAGCGCCTGCTCGGCACGTCTACTTAAGTGCCTGCTCGGCACGTCTACTTAAGTGCCTGCTCGGCACTGCAAGCAGGCCCTGCTCGGCACTGTGCCAGCTCGGCACCGGGGTGCCTGTGCCTGCTCGGCACTGTGCCTGCTCGGCACGTCTACTTAAGTGCCTGCTCGGCACTGTGCCTGCTCGGCACATTTACCTAGGTGCCCGCTCGGCACCGCCCCGCCTCCCGCCCACCGCGAAGTTGTCCAGGATGTGCACCTGACAGGAAAAAAGGGTGGGGGGGTAAGGGGGAGGGGCATTAGGGCTTGAACCACATGCACATGACATGCAAAACCGTGCAAAAAACCAACATGTCAAAATAACATGTTCAAAATCATGTCATGCAAAAACAAGATGTCATGTCAAAATCATGTCATGCAACCGCACCATGCAAAACCCATGCAAAAACCATGTCAACAACCATGCAAAATCGTGCGAAACAAGAATGCGCGCGGCGCGTACGCTGGCGTCTATGCCGGGCAAGTGGCGCGGCCGGGAGGCTTCTATGCCAGGCAGGCGCGGCAGGAATGTTCGCGAAATGTGCCATGGGTCTCACAACGAACATCCACTCTCCCCGGGTTCCTTGCTATATGTGCTATATGTGCTATATGGGTCTCACAAGGCAAGCCACTGAACATCCACTCTCCCCGGGTTCCTTGCTATATGTGCTATATGTGCTATATGGCCCTATATAGCACATATACTACAGATTTTCGCGCGTACAGAATAATATAGCACATATAGTACATTTTGCAAGGAGCCCGGAGACTGTGGGGGTTCAGCGGCTTGGCGTGTAAGAGCCATATAGCACATATAGCACATATAGCAAGGAGCCCGGAGACTGTGGGGGTTCAGCGGCTTGGCGTGTAAGACCCATATAGCACATATAGCACATATAGCAAGGAGCCCGGAGACTGTGGGGGTTCAGCGGCTTGGCGTGTAAGAGCCATATGCAAACTCTTGGGCGAAGCTCAATAGTGTATTATGAACCAAAAGTAAGGTCAGGCCCAAAAGTGGGCCGGCTTCAAGTTTTCGATGTAAACAGAGAACAGCACATAAAACAAGGCGCGCAAGTTTTAACCAACAATTGAGCGTTGTGAACATTGTTTTTCTGGAGAGTCACCGTTTCATCGTTTTGCAAGACGTGGTGCAAGACGTTGTGAATTTTGTATCTCCCATTGGACCGCAATGATTGGTTCAAGTGGTGGGTGGGTGGGTTTACGTTTCTTCCTGAAGAAGGGGGAACATATTTTTTGCAGACAGGGGGAGCAATGGTTCTCTAACTGCTGTGATATGTTGACAAGAGGCGAGGATGTTCCAGCGTTTGCAGAGGCTGCGTATCAGAGTAGCTTGTATTCTGCAATCCGACGAACCAGGCGAGCTTGGGGGCTGATGCCCTGGGAGAGAGGCCCTGTGCTTGGCACAAGTGTGCCCTTGCCCAGACCTTTTGCCATGCCCGTTGGGCCAATGCCTCTAATGCCTGTTGGTGGAGATGTTGTTTCCAATGAGGAGGAGGGCGAACATCCAAAGCCTGCTGCTTTGTTCGAACTTGCGTCGAAGTTTGTTAGGCGGCATGAGACGGTTGCGTGGGAAACCAGGCTTGCTGGTGCCCGCAGTGCTGCCATTCACAAGTGGCTTGGTCTCATCAAGCTTGACCCGATGTGCTTTGATGTTGCGCGTGCATACATGGCGGGTTTGCATACACAACAACAAAATGGAAGCTTGACGCAGACATTGGTCAATGCGTTTGCAACAAAGAGCTCTGCGACATTGAGCGCGCGAGCTGGACCTATTCTGCGGTATGCGAAGTTTTGGGTTGACATGCAAGGTGCTCCTTTTCCATTCACAGAGGCAAAGGTGTATCATTTCATGGAGTGTGTTGAGTCCTCCGCAGCCCCTACATTTTTCAGATCGCTTGTTGGCTCGATTGCCTTTGCGTGGTATACATTGGGTGCTGCAGGTGGAGACTTTGTTGTCAAAAGTACAAGGATCACCGGCTTCGCGTCGAGGTTGTATGTGACGAAGCGACTTAGTATTCAAAGACCGCCTCTGCTGGTTTGTCAGATCCAACGTCTGGAGAACATCGTCAATGGAAATATTAGGAAAGCAGCACGGGATCGAGTGGCGGCAGGCTTTTTCTTGTTTGCAACACTGGCTCGTGCAAGGTTTTCGGATGCAATGGCGGTGGAGAAGTTGGAGCTGGATATGACTCAGGCTGGTGATGGTTTTGGATATGTGGAAGCGGCTACAACCAGATCCAAGACGAGCTATACTCTTGAACGTAAGACCAGGTATTTACCCCTGGCAGCACCGGCAGTTTGTTTGTGCGAAGGCTCTTGGGCCAAGATCTGGATACAGCTCATGGAGAAGACTGGATTGCAGGTGGGAAAGGGTAAGCCGCTCTTACCTGCACCTGGGATTGGTGGTGAGTGGTCACCAGTTCCGCTGACGGCTTCAGAGGGTGCAGGCTGGCTCAGGTCTCTGCTTCAAGTTGAGGGGACACGAGCTGAGTATGAGCAGCTCAAAAAGATAGGAACCCACTCGTGCAAGACTACAGTTTTGTCATGGGCAGCAAAGTATGGGACGCCGCATGAGTTGCGGCTGACAATGGGGTACCATTCTCTTGGCGCAAAGAGTAAGAGCATGTATGTTTATGGTCGTGACAACATTTCTGAGGCGCTGCGTAAAGAGGATGAGTTACTGGCGGAAATCCGTGCAAGCAGGTTTCTGCCAGATGCCACGAGGTCTGGATATTTCCCGGGCCGCGAACCTGCCGAGGCGAACAAGATCGAATCTGAGCCGACCTCAGCTGAACTGCGTGATGCATCAAGCTCAGAGTGCAGCGCTGATGAAGAAGTTTGTCAGAATGTTGATGTTGAGGAGGCCGAGGAAGAGATTGCAGGTGATTGGCATGTTGGTTTCAATTTGGATGAGCTTCCGGATGATAATTACTTCAGGCACGTCCATACCAGGTACATTCATCTGAATGACTCGGAGGAGGGGGCCAGATTCGTGTGTGGGCGACATATCAACAACATGTACAGCAGGGTTGCCAGCAGACCAAAGTTGATGCATCCAGCGTGCAAGCAGTGTTTCGCGAAGTTTCAGATCTCTTGATGTGTGCCAGAGCAAAGGGTGCGGAGCGAAGAGATGTGTCCAACTGCTTGTGTATGGCATACGTTTGCGTGCTGTTGTGATGCGAGCATGTGCTTTGAACCGCCGACCGTGCCCCTCCTTTTTCTGGGGTCCCCGTTTTAAAACTTCAAGCGTTGGCACGCGACGCAGGTTGCAAGGCTAGCGCGCGCTCTTTCCCTTGAGCCGAAACATGCCAAACCAATAGGTCCCCAAACGTGTGCGGTGGGGACCTATTGTATTTAATTTTTTTTTCTCCTTGACAGGCATGACCAACAGCGAATTTCGACTCCAGGCAGTCAGAAGAAAGCTTGCGTGACATGCCCAAGGAATTGCAGCGTATGTGTTGCAAGCGGCCGTCTGTTTAAGGTTTTTTTGTTATGTTTGGTCCCCATTTAAATTTGGGCATAGACTGTTGAGCGCGAGCCCACGCGAGCCATGTCTTATAGTGACAGCGAGGCAGTTTTCAGGAACAGATGTGCGGCGGTGCTTCTGGCAAGTGATGTTGTGGATGCCTTGGTGGCTGGAGGCATCACAACTCTGGCTCGCTTGGCATTTTGCAGCAGTTATGTCCCGGGATCAACAGACGAAGGGCCTCTGGTAGAAGCCATAAAGAAGTGCTTGGGCAGGGACCCGGGCATGCCAGAAATGGCGGGGGTCCGTCGCCTTTTTCATGAAAGCTATGCTCTGGTGACCACGGAGATGAAGCAATCCGTGGAGAGGAGCGAAGAGCCGGCAGTCAGAAAGCTGTCGCAGCCGGAGAGAGCCGAACGATATGAGAAGCAGAGGAAGAGGTTGTCTGGCCTCTCGCTCCGTGGTCAACTGGAGCCGAGTGACAGCCTCGTTGATTTGGCGTGCTCCATTTACGAGGAGAACCGTTTGAGGCACATCCCTTGGGAGAAATGTATCTCAAGGGAAGCTGAGATCGAGCATGAGCAGAAGAAGGACAGCCGTTTGAGTTTTGATTCACAATCGGGGCGTCTCAAGATTGAGGCAGATGACAAGTCGGTCTCAGCTGACATGTCTAGTGACATTCTGGTCCAATATGCTTTGACAAGGCGTGGGCTGGCAATGGACCAGGCAGGGATGTTGGATTTTGAGCTTCACCAGAAATGGGTGGACAAGCTCATCAAGACAAGGCTGGCTGAACCGTCAGTGGGCTATGCAAAGGTTAGCCTGAGGCAGTGCCAAGAAGCGGATAGAAAGCTGTTCGCTGAGTTGGCTGACAAGACCCGTGGAGGCATTCAGGGGACAGCAAGTGGCAGACCCTTGGATGTTGAGTTTGTCAAGACTATGCAATCGATGGAAGTGATGCATTTACTGGTGCCACTGCCAGTCCCAGCGCTGAAGGCTCAAACTGAGCCCAGGGCGCCGCACAGGCCTGAGCCATACCATGCTGGGGGTGGCAAGGGCAAGAAGGGCAGGGGTAAGGTGAAAAGCCCCCCGTTGCCGGCTGGCCTTCTGGGGTGCAGGTCCTGCACGGCAAGTGGCAAAGCCATATGCTTCGGCTACAACCTGAAGACGTGTCAAGAGAAAGTTGAGAGGGGCGCCTGCAGAAGAGGGCTCCACATTTGTGCAGTCCCGAAATGCGGCCAGCACCACGCGGCAGTAGACTGTGTGCATCGGCCACAACAGGGTTGAAAGGCTGACCAGCGGTCAGCAGGTGGCCAGTTTCTTGCCGGTGTGAAGCTGGTGTCAGGGATGCCAGCTGAATGGCTGGAAGCAGCCGCCGAACCTGCTTTGCAAGCACAACAGGTGCAGCAGATGGGTGCGGAGAAGTCCGCAAGCTCGAAAGGAGCAAGCCAAAGGGCTGTGTCACCAAAGGGTGAGAGGGTGCCCACCCCGCAGAAAGAGTGCGAGTTGGGCGCCGCTGCATCTCTGCCGAAGGCGCAGTTGGATGCTTCCGTCCCGACGCCGAAGGGTGTGAAGAGGGACTCGAACGGGTATGGGAAACACAACAAAAGGGCCGAGACGGCCGTTTTGTGCCGAGGTGTGCATGCCCAAGAATTTTTGTGCATGGAGGCGTGTGCTGGTAGTGGCATGCTGTCTTGCCAACTGAAAGCACATGGCTTTGATGTCCTTGCTGTGGATTTTTCAGGCAACAAGCACCGACCGTTTGTGGGTATTGTCAAACTCGACTTGAGACTGGTGTCGTCGTGGGATTTTGTCAGGTATGTTGCGAACAGTCGCAGAATTGCACTTTTCCATGCAGGTCCTCCCTGTGGGACCTCCTCGAGGGCTAGAGGAAAGCCGTTGGCGAATGGTGAACCGGGGCCGCAGCCACTGAGAAGCGTTGATTGGCCTTTGGGATTGCCAGATTTGCAGGGGGTCGACAAATTGAAGGTCCTCAGTGCAAATGCGATTTATTTGCAGGTTGCAGCATTTTGCAAAGAGTTGCAAGCACAGGGCGTGCTGTGGTGTGTGGAAAACCCCACACGTAGCATCATGTGGGAGATTCGTGATTACGTTGAGTTGCAACAGTTTGGATGGTTTGTGGATTTCCATGCCTGTCGTCACGGCAGTGGGCGGAGAAAGGCGACATCCTTTTTGACGAATGTGCAAACTTTCAAAGCACTTGGACTTTTGTGTGAGGGTGGTCATGACCATGCATCGTGGGACCCGCAGCTGGTTGACGGTAAATGGACTTTTGCTACAGCTTTGGAAGCAGCATACCCACGCCTTTTATGCGATCGCATGGCAGAGCAATTATTGTTGCAGCTCGGTGTTGACGCTGGCCCAGCTCCTACAGATCGCAGCAAGGTCGACGCAGCAGTTCAAAAGCAGCCTAAAGGGCGAAAGTTCCCTCCACTTATCCCGGAACATGTGCGTGTGGTCCAAGTGAAAGGTTTGTTGGCAGACGAGCCGAAACTGAATGACAGGAACTGTCTCACTACGGCCTATGGGAGTGTTCCAGTCCAGGCAAAACTGCTGCGCTGCACCCCGCTGCCAAGGGAAAGAATGGGGGGTAAAGACTCGGCAGAGGAGTGTGTGAGGGTGTTTGGAATTTTCCATACGCCCAGTGAATTCGTGAACCTGGCAATCAATTTGGAGCATCCCTTTGACGTGTTCACTGGTGTCCCGGATGTCGTGGCCGTGAACCTTTTCAATTTGCTGGTTGAAGGCCCCCTTGTGATTGCTGCCAGACGTTTGAGAAAGATCAGGGAGTGGAAGGCTCTTGCAGTGGACCTGGACGGGGACGAGAAGGCTTTCAAACAGACGTTGCACCCTGAGGTCGCTCAGGTATTGGCAGGCAAGCGGATTTTGCTTTTGAAACGCTTGGCCTCGGATATTTCGTGGCCAGACATGGCTGTCTTCGACGAATTGGCTAAGGGTTTCAAGCTAGTCGGCATGCAGGCGCCTACAGGGGTTTTTGCCAAAGATGTAAAACTGCGATCAATGTCTGAGGAGGACCTGTATGCGCAGGCCAACTTTGTAAAACGTGCCATCTGGGGCAAGATTGAAGCGTCTGAATGTGATCAAGAGTTGTGGGACATCACCATGGAGGAGCAACAGAAGAAGGGATGGTTCCTTCCCCCTGTGTCATTTGATGAGTTGGAGCATATGTTTTCTGGCAGGTGGATACCAGTCCGAAGATTTGGGATTGCACAATCAGGCAAATATAGGCCGATTGATGACTTTACTGAGAATATGGTCAATAGTGCGTGGGGGAGCGTGGAGAAGGTCGACCTCAAGGCTTTTGACCAATTGATGTGGGCTGTCGCGTGGATGGTGCGAGCTTTCATGGACAAAGGGTGTGTCACTATGCCACTCTGCACGGGAGAGGTCCTGGAGGGCAAGCTGCGTGACTACTGGGTTACAAATCCAGAGCAAGCGAAATTGGTTTGCAAATGTGTAGACCTCAAGTCGGCGTACAAACAGTTACCCCTGTCCCCAGATGACAGGGGTTTGGCGGTCGTGGCGCTTAAGAGTCCTGATCATGAACGTGCAAAGGGCCGGGCTCTGGGTTTTCCTATGCTCACACTCCCATTCGGGGGAGCAGCTTCAGTTTTGCATTTCAATCGTATTTCAAGACTGATATGGAGGCTGGGGATCGAACTATCGCTGGTATGGTTCAACTACTTTGACGACTATCCGCTTGTGGAGACCCATGCGCTCCAGGATAGCTCGAATTCCTGCGCGAGGCTGCTTTTGGATATTCTGGGCTTTACCAGGGCAGTGGATAAGGAACTGGATTTTGCGAGACAGTGCGAGCTCCTGGGTGCGAAATTGGACCTGTCGCGCGATGCCGAAGGATTCGTTGAGGTTGCAAATAAGCCATCGAGAATTGAAGCGATTGGTGAAGAGCTGGGGCCAATCTTGCGAACAAAGAGGATTACAGTTGCAGACCTTCCGTCAGTTTTTGGACGGTTGCAGTTCATGGAGGCTTATGTAATGGGAAGAACGGGCAGGCTTGCTCTGGCTGATTTGCGCCACCTGGAGCGGAGTAGAAAAGTGCAGATAACCCTCTCGGCTGACCAACTGAAAGCGATGAGTTTATTGTTTGAGAGGGTGACTTCGGGGCGACCAAGAGTGCTCACCTTGAAGGGCGACTTGCGCCCGCAGATTGTCTTTACGGATGGTGCTTGCGAAGGAGTTGAGGCAAACTTCAAAGCAACAGTTGGTGGAGTACTATGGTGCTCTACTGGCGAAGTGCGTGCTTTCTCAGCAGAACTTGATAGTGCTGTGGTTCGGCATTGGGCCGAGACAGGCAAGCAGCATCTTATAGGCCCAACAGAACTGTACGCAGTGGTACTCGCAAGGAGTATCTGGGCTGACAGACTTGGCGGACGCAGAGTGATATATTTTGTGGACCACTTTGGGGTCCTTGATGCACTGGTGAAGGGAGTGGCGAAGGATGCCTTGTGGAGAGAACTTTTAATTCAGATGGAGTCACTCGAAATGTACAATGCGTCGTTGGCGTGGTTTGCAAGAGTTGCGACAGCAAGCAACGTTGCTGATGGGCCGTCGCGTGGCAACTGGTCAGAACTCAGTAGCATGACTCAATATGAAGTGGACCCTGCGATTTGCCTTTTGACGGGAAAGCCCTTGAGACCTGCGCAGCCGGATTGCGTGTGATGTGAGAGAACAAGTGGGGAGAAGAACACATCCCACGAAGGTGGGGAGGAGCTCAACCACAGAGGTGCGAATGCTCTGGACATTGGAATCAATGCCCAAACTGTGTATCACCCCGCTTGAGAGAAACATGTGCGATGCAATTTCTTTTGTGCGACGTACATGTCTAAGCCACGGACCCCTGACTTCCTTTGGTTGCCTTGTTTAGAGGCGTTTGGGTTTAAAGCTTCCGGCTCCCGCTGTTCAGGATTGATGCCGGGGAGTGGCGTTATGATGCTGGAAGTTGGTGTCCTGTTTGTCTTCTCAGCCGTAGGGTAGACTTGCGGTCTACACGCAACTGGTGCCTTTGTGTGTGCTGTGTTTAACTTGAAGCACCTTACATGGGGCATAAGCAAACTCTTGGGCGAAGCTCAATAGTGTATTATGAACCAAAAGTAAGGTCAGGCCCAAAAGTGGGCCGGCTTCAAGTTGTCGATGTAAACAGAGAACAGCACATAAAACAAGGCGCGCAAGTTTTAACCAACAATTGAGCGTTGTGAACATTGTTTTTCTGGAGAGTCACCGTTTCATCGTTTTGCAAGACGTGGTGCAAGACGTTGTGAATTTTGTATCTCCCATTGGACCGCAATGATTGGTTCAAGTGGTGGGTGGGTGGGTTTACGTTTCTTCCTGAAGAAGGGGGAACATATTTTTGCCCGCCCGCCCGCGTTTGGAGAAGAACACATCCCACGAAGGCGGGGAGGAGCTGCGAATGCTCTGTACATTGGAATCAATGCCCAAACTGTGTATCACCCCGCTTGAGAGAAACATGTGCGATGCAATTTCTTTTGTGTGACGTACATGTCTAAGCCACGGACCCCTGACTTCCTTTGGTTGCCTGGTTTAGAGGCGTTTGGGTTTAAAGCTTCCGGCTCCCGCTGTTCAGGATTGATGCCGGGGAGTGGCGTTATGATGCTGGAAGTTGGTGTCCTGTTTGTCTTCTCAGCCGTAGGGTAGACTTGCGGTCTACACGCAACTGGTGCCTTTGTGTGTGCTGTGTTTAACTTGAAGCACCTTACATGGGGCATAAAGCACATATAGCACACATAGCAAGGAGCCTGGAGACTGTGGGGGTTCAGCGGCTTGGCGGGGTTCAGCGCCTTGGCGTAAAAGTCCCATGTAGCACATATAGCACATATAGCAAGGAGCCCGGAGACTGTGGGGGTTCAGCGGCTTGGCGCGGCTTCAATGCCGGGCAGGTGGCGCGGCCGGGAGGCCTATGCCATATAGCACATAGCACATATAGCAAAGATGCGGGGGGGTTCAGCGGCTTGGCCAGGCGCCGCAGCAAATCGGGTTGTCCGCGTTGTCCACAGTGGGTGGTAGAATCCCCCACTGTGGACAACTCTAGCTCTCTCTTTAGAGGGCGTTTCCCAAATGGCTTTATTCTACCTGAGAGGCTCCCAGCACTCGTCCGTCCAGCATTTGACCTCGTCCTGCGAAGGATTCAAAGTCTAAAACGCTGGCGCGCAGGCGTGTGGCTGCAAAATAGTGACCCCTAGATATGCGCCGCAATTTGGCTCCAGGTTGCATTTCAAGCGATGTCAACCTTTGCCAAAGGAAACCCCTTTTCCCTTTTTTTTGGGGACCCCTTTTTTTGGGACCCCTTTTTTTCTTTTTTTTGTTTTTTCTTAGCCCTGCAAAGGTTGGCTCGCTTGAAATGCAACCTGGAGCCAAATTGCAAGCATATCTAGGGGTTACTATTTTGCAGCCACACGCCTGCACGCAGCGTTTTAGACTTTGAATCCTTCGCAGGACGAGGTCAAATGCTGGACGGACGAGTGCTGGGAGCCTCAGGTAGAATATAAGCCATTTGGGAAACGCCCTCTAAAGAGAGAGGCTGGAAGATCAACTACGACACCATTCAGCTCGTGTCCGCTAAGCTGACCAAGCTGGACGCCTTGATCAAAGCACTGCTGGGCAGCCGACGGGTACTCCGCAAAACACTCGAGCAGTGCATAGGCCTGCTCATTTAAGCCACCATTGCACTGCATCTGAGATCCGCGCCGCTATACTGACCTCAACAGCCCACCAGGCTCGATGCACTCGAAACCGCCTCAAATCCTTCAGAGCGACATGTATTGTTTCGCCATGGCAAAAAGGTCGGCTTGCTCGCTTTCTTTCACAGCCTTTTAAAGTTTGAGCCTCAGAACGCGCGGCTGAGAACGTCGGTTTTTTGTACGAAAGTGACGGGGCAGTGCCAGTGCTCGGTTAGGAAAGCGGCTCTGCAAAGAAGCGTGCTCTGCCAGGAAGAGGCTCTACCGGGAAGCGTGCTCTGCCAGGAAGAGGCTCTACCGGGAAGCGTGCTCTGCCAGGAAGGAGCTTTGGAGTTGTGAGTGTTGTCTGCTTTCTTTTTTTTGGGGGGGGGGGGGCGAGTCAGGAAGGAATTTTGTCAGGAAGGAATTTTGTCAGGCAGGAATTTTGTCAGGCAGGAATTTTGTCAGGAAGGAATTTTGTCAGGAAGGAATTTTGTCAGGAAGGAATTTTGTCAGGCAGGAATTTTGTCAGGCAGGAATTTTGTCAGGCAGGAATTTTGTCAGGCAGGAATTTTGTCAGGAAGCGGGCTCTGCCAGGAAGGAGAGTCAGCTTTGGAGTTGTGTGTGTTGTCTACTTTCTTTTTTTGGGGGGTGGGGGGCGAGTCAGCTTCCGGGGGGGCGAAGGGGGGATGGGGGCGAGTCAGCTTTGGAGTTGGGTGTTGTTGTCTACTTTCTTTTTTTGGGGGCGAGGGGCGAGTCAGCTTCCGGGGGGGCGAAGGGGGATGGGGGCGAGTCGTTGGGTGTTGTTGTCCACTTTCTTTTTTTGGGGGCGGGGGGCGAGTCAGCTTCTTCCGTTTGCCTTGCCCAACCTCGTTTGACACATGTCAGGAAGTGTGCTCTGTCAGGAAGTGTGCTCTGTCAGGAAGGAATTTTGCCAGGAAGGAATTTTGTCAGGCAGGAATTTTGC